TTGTTTCTCAGCAAGTAAACTTATTTTGCATCTTTTGCCCACTTACAAGCCGTAGAAGCAGTTGTGAAAAAAAAGTTTTGATGTAGAGAGCAGGCTGTTTAAAACCTTTTGAAATCATCATCACAAAAAGCTGTGGTTTGTCCTTCCAGCTGTACCTTCAATAAAAGTATTTAGATGTTAAGCAAAACAAGCCAAAATCGGATCACAGGAAGGTGCATTTATGTTACTATGCAAACATTTTGTTTGTATAGAGTATTGAAATAATTTTGAGTAAATGGTCTAATAAATATGAAGTTTACAAAAACTGTTTGGGAAAGTAATTTGTCCCCCTGTAGCCAAGAATTTTTAAAATTAACTGAAATAGACAGCAAAAATTGTATTTTAAGAATTATTGTTTCTAGTTACCTGGAGACAGAGCATGTTTTCCTTCTGCTATGGCAACAAGAACATGTGAAGTACAGTACCCCAATAACTTGGAGTTCTGCCATGAAATAGATGAAGAACTACAAGCCCAGTATGAGGGTGCTGTCTTTCTCACTGTTTGCAGCTTTCAGTCTGAATTGTAAAATAATTTTGAGTGTTTCTCCAGAACTCTGAAGCACACAGCAAATGGAAAGCGGCTTTAAAGATACGTAGAGGCCATCATACATGCTAAATCCAGTGTTGAGAGTGATTGCTGGATTAGAAAGAGATAGTTGCCAGCAGCATAACAGAATACTTCGTACTTTAAAAATGCTTGGGTTCATTCAGACTTCCTGTTGAATCCTTTAATTCATTTCTTGAGTGTCTCATCTCTGACATGAGTCAGCTCCAATTTTCTTTGTTTTGAGATTTTTCACATTTGTTTTAGATCATTTTACAAGTCCTCATTAGGTACTCCTCCTTCTTTGAGATTATTTGGCTGTTTTTTAATCATGTTTTGAAGTTGCAGGCATGTATTTTGCATTGATTTGTAGCTGTTACTTCTCTTGTTGAATGCAGATGTTAGATTTGGGATGGCTGACATATCTTAGAGGCAGTTTGTTTCTAAGGTAGGTATTTAAGGGGCTGAGGGATGCTAAAGGATGATAATAGAGTCAGTTCCCTGTCGTCTCTGGTGGTAGGTTTCTGGAATGGTAAACTGGGTGCAACAGCCCTTGCAGTGCCAATGCAAGTTGACACGGGTGTGCAGAGCATGGCCTGGCCTAGCAGGACCCGAGAGCTGAGCCCACTTGCCAAGTCTGCAGTCCTCAGCACTGCAGCTTCGCTTTCCAGGAGGGCCCCTTGGAGCCTGCTGCTCTTCACCTGTCCAAACAAGCTGGTATTGCAAGGGGATGGAATGGGGGGGGGTCCATGGGAGGGATATTGTAGCTTCGGGATGAGAGATGTGGGATGCAGGGCTGGGAGAAGGGTTGCTGTTGGGAAGTGGAGAAGGTGAGGATACAGAGCTGAGACAGGCAGGGGAGGGTTTGTTAGGCAGGTTGCAGCACTCCATGAACATGACTGTACTGCTTCAGAGACGAGGCAATTCCCAAACTGTACAGAAGCTTTGGTAGGACACAACATTGTAACTAACTATTTTGTCTGCCCAGAGCTGGCTCTGCAGAGTTTACAAACTTGTGCACTGTACCCACGGCCAAGAAGCTGCTTTGTCTCTGTGCACCACTTAAATTAGAGAGTGCACAAGGCTTCAGCAGTGCACCTGGTCTGGTGGGTGTGTCAAATCCATCCTGGGGCTTCAGCCTCCTCTCTGCCCTCCCTGTGCAGAACAACACTTCTGCTGGCCAGCCCAGGGCATGTGATCTTGGCAGCCAAGGTGCCCAGCAGCACCTTGGGTGATGACTATCCATTCTCAACTGTTGGCTAAAATTAGAGTAGATGTAAATGTTTCTCAACTGACGTGTGTAGGCAGATGTATTTTAAATCATGTAAACTATTGTCCAGGCTGTAACTCCAACATGTGAACCCACAAATGAAAACAAATGGGTTGAGTGTATTGACAATTTGACCTTTTTACTAAAATGAGCTTGCTCTACTGTTTTCAGAAAGCCAGCTGGATGGTCACTCTCTGCTGTAAGTTCTTCACATTATCACAGGCTTCTCAGCTTGCAGTTTTGCTCAAATTCATTCAGAGGGAGTTGTTTTTCTTTCTCATACCTCTTAGCATGGTAGGTGCTTTATTGTGTGGTGGAGGTAATTCAGAGGCAAAGTCTACCCATTATTCTAGATAAATGCATATGTACATGTGTAAAGATCTATAATGTATTATATAGAAACAATAAGTGAAATGTGGTCTGTATCACACTAAAAATTTGGCTTCAAGAGTGATAAATGGCATCAATTGAAAACACACATGGTATCTTTTGTGTCTAGAAATAAACACCACAGTGTTCCACCCGCTGGAATGCAGTATAACTCACATATGTATATACTGTAATGATAAAGAAAGTACTGCTGGAGTGCTGGTTGAACAAGAGAAAATTCAGAACTTCATCAGGTCTTTTCCATAGCTCAGATACCTTCATCTAAGACAAACAGAAAAAGTATTTACGAGACAGTCTTTCACATAAAATAAAAAAAAATAATAATTTTCCTTAACTCTTTGGCTCTGTGCAATACTTTGAGGTAAGGACCAGTGTAAACTGTGAAAAGAACAGCCTGTAAATAAATGACCCACATTGCTTTCCTAGGAGTCTAGAAGGATGACAGAGTGACATCTCGTTAGCTCTGTGGTTACCTGTGTGCACTACTCAGATATTTGGGACTGGAGTGTCAGCTCCGTGTTGTCCGCAGCCTGTCAGAGCCGGGGTGTCTGCCTGGGGAAGGTCATTGCACCTGACCGATGATCAGAGGCTCTGAGCAGCCTTGCAGAGGACCAGAGTAGGTGGCTAAGGCTTAAAAAACTCTTGTTCTCTGTCTACTAGTGGTCTTTCATAGAATCATAGAATATCCTGAGTTGGAAGGGACCCATCAGGGTCATAGAGTCCAACTCCTGGCCCTGCACAGGACACTCCAAGAATCACACCATGTGCCTGAGAGCACTGTGCCTACATGTTTCCAGTTGTTTTCCAGTGTGTTCCTCAAAAAATGCTGATTAGGTCAAGCACATTGAATTTTAAACCTCTCTGCTGTCTTTTGTGATAGGTCTCAAATCTTGATGTCAGGAGAAGGCTTTTTCTTCTGGTCTTGCTGCAACTAATGTTTGGGGGTTTTATTCCCTTTCTATTGTTTCTGTTTTTCTTTGGGTTTGTGTTTTGGCAATTTTTTTGTCCTCTTCTGCCTTTATTTTGAACTTTCCCTACAGAGATTTGCAATAACAAATACAAGAAGGCAGTTGGAATGTTGTTACTTCAGTCCGTTGCTCTTCAAGGATCCCTTGATGTGTCAGAATTGGTCCTACTTGTGCATATGTGTAGACATCTGGTTATTTAGTTCCTGCTTTTGGTAGAAAAGCGAGGGCTCTGCACTCCAGGATGTAAATAATAATGCATTTGTTTGAATTCAAATTTCATTGTGTTAAAATCTTTCTGATATAGCTATCAGCAAACATTTGTATTTAATGTTACTTATTTTACTATGCTGCAAAAGTCGAGTTAAATACAGCTTCCTATATCCTTCTTGCATTAACAAATTTGCATGGCCTCTTCTCTCGGCCTTTCTGCAAATACCTTACAGTTTAGGAAATTGTTTAAACCTAAAAGTATCTCAAAATAGAGCTACTTTCTTGTTACTTGTCAGCATGAAGTAGCAGAAGCAAGTTCGTGTGCTAGCAACACTAGTGTTGCCATTTCTTGTCTTTCAAATACTTTGCTGTGCAAACATTACTGCTATGGACATTGTACAACACCATGCTTGAGATAAATCATGTATGTTACAGTACATAAGGCTTAATGGATTACTTTTCCATTGCTCATTTTAAAATTAAAACCACCAGCTTCCTGTTTTTCTTGTCCTGAAGTCCTGTCTAACTGAGCTCTTATAATTTCTAAAATAGCCTGTCAAAAAAGGAATTCAGTAAAGTGACTAAAAAGTGACTTCTACTTAACCTTTGATTTTATAAACAATTGGCTGAGTCCTAAATAGATGAAAACAGTCTATTTTTGGGCCCCAATTTAGAGAATTGATATTTCCACATTTGCTTTGTCATAGCTGGTAGTAGTTGCTAAATTGTGAAAGCTTGTAGCTATTACAAATGCTTGGAGGATTGCTGAGTGTTCTGCCGTAATGCATTAAGAAGCTCAGTGTACTGTACATTTCAATTTATAATAAGAGATGTAGCTGATAGCACAGACACTGAAATATTTCAAGTCTAGACTACTGCCTTGAAAACCAAGGGCTGTTGGCTTTTTGGTGCAGTTAAGTTGGAAAATAACTGATAAGGACAGTTGGAGTACGTCAGACTTCAAAAAGTGATGAGTTCTCTAAGCCAGGGTGGATCAGGAGGCTTCAGCCACTGCTTGCCTGCCCTGTTGGGGTGAAAAGGGAGCTGGCATTTGAAATGGCTGGTCATGCTCATCAGGCTTGAGTGGTTTGTGATGGAGGTCACACGTAGACCCTTGTTAGGTGGGGAAGATGACTTTCTGCAACACTATGTTTAGCAAAGTTTCCTGTCTGTAGAAAATGGTAACATTAGTATTTCACCGATGACAAAGATAATGGCTGGAAAGTTTAATGTAGCTGGTGTTCTCTTATATAGCTCTTTTGTACCTTTGGATAATAAAAATAGCTTGCTGAGAATTTTTGAGTGTAACTGCATATTGTAATAAGTGGAGGAAATTATGATGTAGCCGATACTTTTATGGCCCCTTTAATATCCCAGTTCACCTTACAAATCACTGTGTTTATGAAGTCCTTTTCTTACTGCTGCCTGTGAAGTAGAACATTTTGATTGTGTTTACTGTCATCATGTGTTGTTAGCCGTGGAAAAAAGGGGGAATATTACCTCAAACTGGGCTTACAGACTTGAAAAATTATGTAATTTCAGTTTGTCTCTCTAACATAATGCCAACTTTCTTTTTCAGAGCCATGGTGTCATGGAAAGGGATATACTTTGTAGTTGCACTATTCTTGGGAAGTTTCTTTGGGAGTATATTCATGCTCGGTCCTTTTCTACCTTTGATGTTCATCTCGCCGGCCTGGTATCGCTGGATCACCGACTGCATCGTGGCTACTTGGCTCACGCTCCCAGTGGTAAGTTGCAGTTTGAGCCAAGTTCTGGGCAACTTTCTGCAATCCCACAATTTAATTTGCCCACTAACACTTTTGATTTTATTTTTTTTTTAAGTTATTTATGCTTTTGTCGAAACGGGCCCTAACACACTATCTGTGGAAACTTGGGGTTTAGCTCAGAGTTGCAAACTGTGTGCCTGTTTACAGTCCCTCTCTTCTTCCACAGTTTAATTTATATGTAACCTAATGCTGTGACTTAATTTTATGCTTGAAAAGGCCTTTTTGTGACATCTTCATCCAGTGTCACTCAGATGCAGAGAAGAGTAGGTGAACTACTAGTAAACAGAAGGATTTTTTTTTTTAATTGCAAACTTCCTAAGTGAGTCGTCTTGTAAACTCCTTCTTTGGACTTTACTCCGATTATCTCATTAGGGAAATTATCCACTGCTTTGTACGCTGTTGCCAACCTTCACAGTTTTGTTACTTAATCCTCTTAGAATTTAGTCCTTGTAGTTGAATTAGAGGTAAATGATTTCAACTGAAAAAGAAGAGCTTCACCTTTATCAACTTTATAACTATATGAGTCTGGAAATCAATAACAAAGCTTTTCCCTGGATTGTTCCAGAGGAAAGGTGGTGTGAATAGGAGAGTGTCTTTATTCATCTGTTCTCTAAAAGCCAAGGGACTTTTTTCCTCTAGACCATTGAAGGTTTGTTTCACTTTCTGAAGTAAAATGCCATATTGGTATGCAGAAGTATGTATCTTGTGGCATAAAAGAAGTTTAATCTTTATTACATATCAGAAAAGGAGTCTCAAAAAGATTTTGCACCCAACCCTTTTGAGGCACCAACCTTGTCTGCTTTAGTTTTCTGTCCTTACACTTACTCCATTCTTAGTCGGGAAAAGCAGGTTCTTGGTTTGTGTCTCCAGACAGTAAAGTGCTGTTGTACCAGTTGGACTCCAGCAGGGAAACTCTGACCCTGACCTCTGTGATGTAAGAAATTTCCACCTTCCTCACTCTGCTATCACATTTTATTTCCTTTCTGGGAGAGTCAGCAGGACGGGACAGTGAGATGGGTGTTAACTGTTTCAGTTTAGTTTGGCTTATATTAGGGTTAGAGTATGTAGAACGGGGCACCCACTCATTATTATGTTTAACTAGATGTTAAATGTGTAATATGATTCTTATTAAACTACCCAAAACAGGCTGCTTTTTTTCTTTCTGAAAAGAAGATATCTTTGCCATTTTGAGCTATATTGCCTGTACCAGTCTTGCAGGGGCTCATAGTTACTCTTGATAGCAACACCTTTTCTGGAATTATAATGAGCTGAGTTATTTATAGTATTAATACTTGGCAAATATAATGCTTTTCATTCTAAGATCTCAAGCCATTTGCGATTGTGAGAACGTCATTCTAGTTTTACAGGTGACTTAACCTGGGAAACTTGTGTCCTTTGGCACAGAGTTGGCAGAAAGATGAACAGAACAGAGAATTGGTTTACTTTATAGAGCTCTGTTTAAATCCCCAGTCTTTGTTCTTTTTCTATACTTTTTTAGAGGAAGAATGGGGAAGATAAGGTAAGGAGATAATTTGAAGTGCTTTTTATATTAGGGCCAAAGGGTAAGTTTGTTCTTCCAGATGTCCAGTTGTGTTTTGCTGGTTTCTTTTTCTGTGCTAACTGGGTTGGACACTGTCCTGCCAGTGACCCTGACCTTAGGGGACTCAAGTCAAACCTCTAGGTAATGTCTGTTGTCTGCATCTGTTTCTTGGGATTTTGTACCTTTTCACTGTGTTTCCACTAGGCATTAAAAGGTTGCAGGTTCAGTCATCTGTATTTTTTAATTCTTTGCTTAGTTCTGGTCTTTTGCTGTAACCAACCAGCACTCCCCCATATACTTCCCTGCATGATTTGGGAATGGTCATGAGTCAGAAACCATTTTCAGTAGGCAATTTGGATATGGTGTGGATGTGGCCAGAGCATGCTGTTGGGCTCCACAGCTGTACTTACTACAACTAGTCTGGTTATGTGCTTATGGTCTGACTGTCCAGGTTATGAAACCAGGCCGCGTTAAACTAACTGTGTAGCTCTTGCCTGCTCTTTCCCTCTGATAAACCACTCACCTATGCTTTATAACTTGACCCTTCACAGCCATATATAGCAGGTAAAGCAAGAAACATGCTTTTTATGTGACCTTCTGGCATCACTGCTTAGGCAAAATGGAGACAGCTGTTTGCCCAGGCTCATGTCTATGTCCTTCCAAGTTTGAGGCTTACTCTGTGCTTTGGGAGTGAAACGTTGACCATTTGGTCCCAAGCAGAGACCAAGGCAGCTTCTGATGCCTTCCCAGCCCCAACAATATTGAGCAATAGATTATTTGTGCAGCCAGTCTCTCCTTAGATTACCTGCCAAGCTATAATCCATACTGACTCACTTATATTCTTATGTGATAGTATTCTTGGAAAAACAGGGAACGGTAAGTTTAATGCAGTGATTGTAATGGAGTGCTTTTTAAGATATGCTGTTTAATCGTTGTTTCCCCTTCCATTAAACAGCTATTACTGCAGGAAAGCTGGCTACTTTATTAGAAAACAGAAGTTTGTTTACCAGTGGTGATAGGAGTGAATAAGTGAAATGATACAATTCAAATTAATTTGTATTGCTAATGGGCTGATGCTTTTCTTCTGTGAGTAAAGCCATAACACGGAGATAATATTTCTAGGCCTTGCTGGAAATGGTGTTTGGTGCCAAGGTGGTTGTCACTGGAGACGGATTTGTTCCTGGAGAAAGGAGTGTCATTATCATGAACCATCGCACACGAATGGACTGGATGTTCCTGTGGAACTGCCTGCTGCGATACAGCTACCTCAGACTTGAAAAAATCTGTCTCAAATCCAGTCTCAAAAGCATTCCGGGATTTGGTATGTCACTAAACCCTTTAATTTGAAAGGAAAATATGTTTCAATGATGCCCAGCACTGTTCATAACCTGGTAAATGACGTAGGTTTAAATTCTGTTTCAGTATTTTAAAAAACACTTGTGTAAAATATGTGGCATGTTGAGCGATTAAACCTTAAATCTCCAGAGGACGCTTAGACTACATGCTTAAGCTTTTCTTTTTTAAGATACTACATGTGCTTCTGTTGTTGCTTGTAGGTAAAAATATTTCTGCTTTGAGTACTGAAAGCATTTTTCAAAATGATGAAAAATTATTTACCAGTCTTTTCAAAGTCTCTTTCAACACTATGTTTTTTGTGCTATCCACCCCATGTTGCACATGCTCTCATCAAGCTTCTTTCTTCATTATCCAGTGTATACTATTGTGAAGATGAATAAAAAAAGCTCTGTAGGCAATTGCAAAGTGGCTGGTTGATTTTAATAACTACTTTTAAATTGAACTTGGCTATGCAAAATATGCTGTACAGGATATGAAATAATCAGGATTTATAGTGATGTAGGCTGGAAACAGGTCTGAGTTGCACATACTCAGAGAAAGCGTTTCAGATAGGCGTGCAAATGGTTTCTGAATAAATAGGTAGACTTATCTGAAATAAAAACATCTCTGCATTTTATTTATCTCTTAGATTTATTTGCTGTTTTATACAAAACTAGCTTGGGCAGGATATGCGTCAACTTTATGATGCTGAAAGAGTAACCTTATTTATGGTTCCCTTTTGTCAGGCCATTTATCTGAACAAATAATTTTGGCAGGATTCCATACTGAGGAGCTCTCATACTGTTGCACTGTATTGCATTCACTTGCTGGGCCTTTAGTAAGAGCTGCAACTAGGTAATGGGTTTTTTTTCTCCCTAGTGGCCACACATTAAGGTCAATTTTACTTGACAAAAGACATCTCTCTTAACGTGACAGGAAATGAGAAAATACATATTTAGATAAATGTTTTATCTTCGTAACATGTTTTGAAATCTTGGAATCAGCTGAGTTTGCAACTTTTTAAAGCGATAATGGAAGATGGAAGTCAGTAGTAAAGTACAGAAGATTGTAGATTTACCTCTTCAAAAGCAGCATATATTTTGTTATTAACAAAACATTTGTATGTATGCTTGTTAATGCCTTTAATAAAATTGGAAAGTTAGCTCCAATAGCCTGGATGCTAAGTTATGCTTGGTAAAATTTGATTCCTGAAAGAGTATTAGGAGTTTTTAGAGGCTGATTTTTTTTTTTAATTTTTTTTCAAATTCCATTCTCAGTTCTCTGCATACACTGAGCACATCTAATATATTTGATGAGTAGGCTCAGGCAGATGGATCTGTGGCAGGTCAATATTAGCAGACCATCATGCCCTCTTTGTTCGTGATGTAGTAGCTTAAGCCACTAACAAAATTCTGAGCTCATACTGTGCTTTGTGGGCTGTGATGTAGAGGTGATACAGGCAGACATTTACTCCTGTTGTTTGCATTAGAGGATGAAAATTTCTGGTGATAGAAGTGGATGTCTGGATCTGTAGTGCTATAACCCACTACTTTTAATGCCAGATCCCCAAGCGCTCTCTGCAACAGATAGGCTTTGAGGACTTTGGTTGTAATGTTGTGAATTATGACTTATTTTTCAGTAAACCGTTAATGTTGTGTTTTTAATCACAGGAAGGGAATTCAGCTAAACTTATGTCCTTCACTCAAGCCATGATTTGATGCTCTAAAGTTATGAAAGATAAACTTCTGTTTTATCATTGTGTATCTAAAAGGAGGACTTAGAAATACATGTCTCTGTGTTCAGTCAGGTTGTTTTGAGTGGCAGTTCCTTGCAAAAATAAAAGCATTCTGTATAGCCACATAATTAGGGAACCATTGCAAAGTGAGACTCTTGGATTAACTGAAGACTGATGGAAAAAGATGAATCTGTATGAAGTTTGTTGGGGCAGTATCACTGCAGAAAATGGTGTCTAAAGAGGACAACCCTGAATTTCAGCAGTAATAGTAGAATTTCTCGTACTTACCACTCTCAGCTCTGCTGTGTTATTTGATACACCTTTAATAAGTGTTTGTCAGGTTTTGGGTTGGGTTTTTAGATTGTGTCCTGTGGTTTTTACCTAGAAGTTTTATTTTATGAGCTTGTAAAAGAGAGAAGATCACTTGGAAATCAACCAGACAGTTTCAGTGCACTGCATGTGTAATCAATACTTTTAGATGTTGATCATTTAAGACATAATATCAGTGGAAATTCAACCAACTATTTTCATCATGTCTTTCAGTTTTATCTTTTCATGCATTTGTATGGATTAGTTATACATAGTTGAAAGTATAGGATTAGGGAACTTTGATACATTGGCTAAACATAACTTTTAATAAATCTTAACCTAATGGTAATTTTGCTTTGAGTTTGAGAAGTATTTGAGTGAATATACTGCATTGTTTTCACTGCATTTTTTTCTGATCTTTGAAAGGCTTTTTTAAAAAATTTAATTTAAAATTGTATAAGATAAGGTTTATATTGCAAGCCTTCTGTTTCCATGTTTCTGAAAACCTTGACAGTATTCAGCATAGCACTTTTGTTGTCATAAGTAGTTTCCCATTTGGGGTGTAAAAATAGGTCTGTGAGAGGTTAGGATGCTTCAAGTGGCATATAAGGTACGTGAAGGGCAAAGCTGGTAATGGAAATAGATCCAGAGTTCTTGTTGCCCCCTTTGTGGGTTAAAAGTTTAAAGATATCAGATTTAATGAGTCTGTATTACAAGTAGGCAGTTATTTTCTAGTTAATTATAATTAAAATCAGAGGATTCAGTATTTCAAGGAGACACATTGAGTCATTTATCCACTTCTTAAGTTATTAAGTCTTTGCATTCCAGTGTATGAAAAAAACCTTAAAATTGATTAAAGGTGAGCTTTAAAAAAAGAAGTCCAAAGAAAAACAGATGGTCTGTTCTTCCTGGAACCGCAGCTTTGGCTTGATGAATTGTGTGCAGTAAAGTTTTCAAAAAGAGATATTACATTTCAGTAATCTCAATTTCAGAAACATTCTTGCAGCATTTCAGTACATCTTGCCAAAGCTGGCGTCTCGAGGGAGCACTACTCTGCTCTTAGCTGTTGCTGCAGTTTCTCATCTGACATCATCAGAAAGTACTGACACATTCTGCGGTATCAGTTTTCAAGGAGAATTTCTAATGGCATTGACAGTTTCCTGCATAGTCTGACATGATAGGACTTCTCTACAGTACTTGTAATAGATATGAACAATTAATATTCTCATCTATTCTCAATTAATAAGGAGTTATGTTGGAAGTGATACAGGTTATGGTGCAGTTGTGTTCAGAATGTGTCGTGGAGTACATACTGTTCAAGTAGGTACCAAGGGATAGATAGTAATGTCAGATGACCATGTAATGACTAGAAGATAGTTTTAATTCTTTTCTTAATAGTTTCATTTGTGAAAGTCGTGATAACCAATAAGACTTCACTGGAAATAAGTATATATTTTAATGATGGACAATTTGAATATGTTGGGGGGGCTTACAGTAATATTCGGATTATAGTAGTTAAAAGTGCCTCAACATGTATGTGAAAAATAAATCAGAATTTGGGTTTAATTTGAGCACTCTCAGAATAACTGAGAGAAAACTGAAATAGGGTAAGGGGTTAGTGTCAGTTCTACATGAGGTAATAGTAATCCTAGTTTCACTTAATGCAGATGGAAAAGAGAAATACCATCATAATTCAGTGTACAAATGTAAAGTATGCAGGTGCTACAGGCACCATTGATGGACATATCTTGTAGACTTACCTGTTTTGAAAAGGCTCACTGAGATTACTAAATCAGGGCATTGTAGTTGAAGCAGACTGGGATGGGAACAGGAAAGGAAAGGACAAGGTGATGAAGGAAAAAGAGGAGAATAAGCAAAGCTGACAAACCTGGAGTAGTTAGAAGCAGAGATAACTGAGTAACTCTGTCCAGATGTTCATCTCTGTATTCAAGTTACTCTGTGGCTAACACTGCTCTCAAAGAAGACTGCAAGATGTAGGAGCTTTTTAGTTGTTGTTTTTCATTCATCTTTTCACTCGTGTGTTGTAGCTCTCGAAGGCTCAAGTTAGGTTTGGCCCTTGTATTAAGTGCCCGGGGGGGAAGAAAAAAGGACTTTTCTTTGTTTCAGCACTGGGCTTAGCCCCACCAATCTTTTACTACATGTCAGTTGATCCATTATAGCTGTCCAAGTGTGCGAGCTTCCCCTGAAGCAAGCTCAAAGTAATTTGAGTCATCTTAGTTTTCAATGAAGCAGGGCAAAACAACTCAAATTATCCTGCCTTTGCCACTGGCTAAGAGCATGCACACTGACAGCTATGATGGATCAGCTACCATGAAGTAAAATATTGTTGTCACTAAGCCTAGAAAATTTTAACACTTATCTCAATTGGAGTATAGCTAAAGCAGCATGCTGCAGAGAATCTGTACACATTTATATTAACATGGAAGTGTTTGTGCTGTCACAGCTACTTCCACAGGTAGGGATAGAAATGCTTCAGCATAAAGCATCTTTGTTCACGTTATGGTTGGATTTACATTCGAATTCTTACCAGTAGAGGATATTGGTTTAAAAAATTAAAACTGTAACCTACTGAACTTTCTAGTATAGCTCACGTGTCAAGTATCTTGCATTAAAGTAGGCTGAAATGAGAGTTTTGAGAAGCTGTGATGTCTTCTAGCAATTCAGTTGTGAGCTGCCAGACTTAATTGCCATAGAGTTGTTATCCTGCGTGATTTTTAAAATAGAAGTTGTAAAAGTATGCTCTCTAATGGAAAACAAAATTGTTATTCCACCAGTTATTCCTGGTGAAGACTCTTGAAGACTCTCTTGAAGAAGTTTTAAGTGTGAAAGAAGGATTATTACTCTGAAGCAGAAATGCAGCTTAAGTTGGCTGTAACTTTACATGCCCTTTTTTTTTTTTTGGAGGGAAGAAAAGACTTGGG